CCCCCCCCGGCAGTGGTGACCCTGAGCACTGCTGGATGTCTTCCCTCTAGTTTCCCTGAGGAGGTTGGATGTGCTCCCACCTCACTTCAGCAGACATCCAGGGATGACCTTGCCCCCCTTCTCTGAGGCAGCCAGGCCTGAGCCCTCCCTCCTCCCACAGGGACGTCATCACCATTGACAAAGCCACGGGCAAGATCACCAAGTTGGGACGCTCCTTCACTCGAGCACGGGACTATGACGCCATGGGTTCCCAGGTATGCAGGAAGTGGGGGCAGTGGGTGCCCCTGGGTACCAAAGCATTGGGAGTGGGGGGAAATGAGGCCCCCAGGTTCTATTCCAGTGGGGTGGGAGGATCCTGCCTCAGGTAGGGAGTCGGACTAAATGACCTCTGGAGGTCCCTTCCAGCACAACTTCTCTATGATTCCAGGGGCTAGGGCCTAGAAGATGTGTTTTTTAGGTACTGAGGCTTGAGCGAGATGGGGGGCTACTGGGTAAGGAGGGGCATAGGCAGAGCTGTGGAGTGGGGACTTCTGGCTATCAGCTGCAGGGTGCAATAGGGAAGGGGGCTGCCAGGTGACACCAGACAGGCTGAGCTCCCCCCTAACACAGAGGATTTTGGTGTGGATATAGAGCTGGTGAGACCAGCCCTGAGACCTCTCCCACTACCCCATCCCTGACCAGACCAGATGCTGCAATGGGAGGTAGGGGTTGTGGGGGACGAGTCTGAGTTGTTTGCCACACATGCAGTGCCAGGGGAAAGGCAGTGGGGTTGCAGGGCAGGGAGTGGGGGCAGTAGGTGAGCTCTGAGCTGTCTCCCCCCTCTCCCCCCAAATCCAGACCAAGTTTGTGCAGTGCCCAGATGGGGAGCTGCAAAAGCGCAAGGAGGTGGTTCATACAGTATCGCTGCATGAGATTGATGTCATCAATAGCCGCACCCAGGGATTCCTGGCTCTCTTTTCAGGTACCACCTGCCCCCCACCTGCACCAAGGCTTCCTCCTCCTATGGCCTAGGGCTGCAGCAGACCTATCCCCAGAGGGGGTTTGCCCTTGTTCATACCCCAGGGACATCTCCCTCGCACCCCGCACAGACATGCATGCAGGCATGCACACACAGACATTATTCTCTGCCCACAGGGGCGGGTGGAACCCCTGTGTGTCCCTTATGGGACTCTGTACTAGGGGAGGGGTCTCCATACATGAGCCCCTCCCTTTCCCACCCCAGGTGACACTGGTGAGATCAAGTCAGAGGTGCGGGAACAAATCAACGCCAAGGTGGCTGAGTGGCGTGAGGAAGGCAAAGCTGAGGTCATCCCAGGGGTGAGTGTGCAAGTTGGTGGGCACTGGGGTGGGGTCTTCCAGGCTTTGTGGGGTTCTCTTTGGAGGGAAGTGGGGAGCTGGGACTAGGAGTGGCAGCCTGGGGTCAGTATGGTGGTAGGGGGAGTACTTGAGGCTGGGCCACCTTTTGGGGGAGCAGCAAGCAGGGCACAGGACTGTGGGGTAGGGGCTGGGATCAGGGGATTCCTAGGGTGACCCCATGGTGCAGTTTTTGGGAAAGGGGAACATTAGACATTAGGGCGGCACTGGGGTGATCCATGGCTCCCAGCTATGAGGGACTGGGGAGAGGCCCCAGTGGGTGTCCCTGGGTACCAGAGTGAAGGGGAAGTGGGACCCCTTCATCATACCTTGTGCGCCCCCCCCCCCCCCACCTCTTCTAACCCAGGTGCTCTTCATCGATGAGGTGCACATGCTAGACATCGAGTGTTTCTCCTTCCTCAACCGGGCGCTGGAGAGTGACATGGCGCCTGTGCTCATTATGGCCACTAACCGCGGCATTACCAGGTCAAGCATGGCAGAGTGGGTGGTGGGCATGAGGCTTCAGCCTCAAACCCCTGCTCTTGTGAGGACCCCCTTCAGGCCCACCCAAGACAAGATCAGCCTTAGCTACCCTTCACTATGCCTATTCCAGTCCAGTTCATCTACCCTGGTCCCAGAAACTCAACCTGGTATCCCAGCACCCCCTAAGCACTCCATCTCTCTGCTAGGAAGATCTTACAGACCCCACCTCCAGCCCCTACACGCTGACCACAGGCTGCTACTTCTAATTCCAGCTCCCCTCTTCCCTCCAGGTTGAATCCTGTGCCCCCCCCCCCCGGTGGCCCCCAATGTGGGTACCATATAGTCATCTTCTGGCATTGCCATTTTCCTGATCCTTCCCATCAGGGGAGCTCCTGGTTTAAAGCAGATGTTTGTACTGGTCCCCAGTTCTGCAACTTGGGGACATGTTTGAATTTTATTCCCACCTGACTGCTCCAATACATCCCACAGGATATTTTGATAGTCTTTGTGTTGGCAGTACTCCCCAGGCCTGTGCTGTCAGCCAGACCCCTGCTTCTTGTGCCTGGACCATTAGCAGAGACAGGCCCATGGCTTAATCCTTGAGGAGCTCCTCTAGTGTCCTCCTTCCCTCCAGCCCAGTATGTCCCCTTTCAGTCCACCTCAGCCACCTTCCCTGGAGCCCATCCATGCCTCACTTGCCTCACAGCCAGTTGTCTTGTTTCTGCCTCCTGGAGTGATGTTTGGACATGTGTGATCATCAGTGTTACCTTGAGCTGGGAAAAGACATTCTCTGTTGGAGGTCCCAGCTGGCCCCTGGAGTAGATGAGAGCCTGCCCCACACTCTCACAGTGGGACTTAAACCCTTGGTTAGGGGGTGGGACAGGGGCAGATTAGGTCATCAAATGGGCAGGCCATCCCTTGGTTAGACCACCAGAGGGGTGGAACCTAGGCAGGGGCAGGGCATCACTTGGTAGGAGCAAAGGATAGGGGTCAGTTAGGTTATTGGTTGGAGGCCTGCACAAGGGCAGGGCGCTGCATGATGGGCATGGCAAGACCCCAGTGCCCTGATGCCTCCAACCCTTTCCCTGCAGAATCCGTGGCACCAACTATCGGAGCCCCCATGGCATCCCCATCGACCTGCTGGACCGGTTGCTCATCATCTCTACTTCGCCCTACAGCGACAAGGAGACCAAACAGATCCTCAAGATCCGGTGAGGCCGGGGCCCCCCAGTCACAGACCCCTCTACCCTTCCCAGTCCCTCAGGAGTGTTTCCCCTGCATCACAAACTTTGCTTCCGCTTTTAGCTCTCCAATCGGAGGGTTCTTCCCTGCATCGCAGACCTTCTCCTCCCCCTTCCAAGCTCCCCCATAGGAGGGTTCATCCCCTTCAATGGTAGGGCCCGTCCTGCGAGCTCCCTTACATCAGGGTCCTCTCCTCCCTTCCCCT